CCGGAAGCAGCCCAGCCTCCAGAGGCAGCCCCACCTCGCTGGAGGCCAGGAGATGTGGGCATCTCTCCAAGACAAACTCTGATGGCAGTCAAAGTTTTATCAAAAATAGAAACATTACCACATAATATAGTTTCACTTTTGTATATTTAGTATAACCATGGCAGTAATCCAATTTACATACTACAAGTTTTATATTTGCACATTTCAGTATTCTATTGCAATTGTCTTCTACAACCAAGTCAAGATATAATAATGACAATTAACAAGAAAAATAATCATTAAAAAAAGTTCAATACTCAGAGGTTCTCAGACTGAAAAACACACACACACACACAATTAGAGAACAATAAGCTTTACAGTGGCTTATTAAGCATCAATTTTTAGACTTCCTAGGGCCTTTGAATATTGAAATGAGAAACTGATTAAGGAATACTACATAGCTCTTGGGTGTGGAACTTCAATGATTCCTACATAATACAAGACAACAGCATAACATTCAAGTCACAAAGACTGAAGGCTCACCCAAAGAATTGAGAATCGGTTTGGAAGGAAAGCACATGCCAATAAACTAATCTGAAGTATAAGAGATTTTCCCTGTCCTATAAGATCTAAAAAGCCATGTTAAAATGAAACCGAGAAATCCATCATCACTTTATAAGTTAAAAATTAGATAAGAGACAATGTATGAGTGTCCTGTTGCTGCTCTAACAAATTATAGTGCCTTCAAGCAACAAAAATATAACTTACAATTCTGGAGGTGAAAAGTCTGAAATGGGCCTCATGGGGCTAAAATCAAGGGGTCAGCAACGCTGTGTTCTTTCTAAAGATTCTATGGGAGGATTCATTCCCTGGTCTTTTCCAGAGTCTAGAAGCTGAGTGCATTCTTTGTCTCCATTTTCCAAGCCAGCACTGGACAGTCAACTTCTTCTTCCATGGTATCTCTCTAATACTGACTCTCCCGCCTTCCTCTTTCATTTATAAGGACTCTTGTGATTATCCTAGGCCCAAACAATCCAGAATAACTTTCCATTTTAAAGTGCTTAATCAGTTTTTGCAAAGATTCTTTTGCCATGTAACACACATAATCACAAGCTGTGGAGATCAGGGTACAGATGTTTTTGGGGGTCAACTCTCTGCCTCCTGCAGACAGCACAGTGTATAATCTGCATACATTCTGTAATCCACCTGGAAAGTAGCTACTAGAATACAGCATTTATTTATCTATGAAACTGCATTTAGTGTCATTTCGGAAACAAGTAAGGTCTATAAGATCCACCTGGAATTAAACTGAACTGAGTAACCTAGGGCCCGGAAAAGAGACACAAGAGAAAGCAGCTGATAAAACTGGTAGGCATGTACAGGAAATTACCGTAGATGCAGGCTACAAGCAAAGATCAGTGAAGCTAACTATATATGATGTCATACTAATTTTGGATTAATTTTGTTGCACCCCATAGTTCTATTATCTTTTCTTAATAATGATATAACTGTATAAAAACACATTTTTTATTATTTATGATTGATGATTTTTTTTATAATTAGAAATTGTAGATACAAATACCCAGCACACTCTTTGGCACACTGAAGAACAAAATAGTGTCAAACTTTAAATTCTAGGTTCCAGGGTCTGATTCTGCCACTTACTACACCAGTGTGGTCTTCAGCAAGTCACTTAGAATTTCTGTGGCCGTCCTCCGAAATTAAAAACAGGGTAATATATAGCTCCTGCCCACGGGGTCACTCTAAGATAGAATATGTAAGTGCAAAGACATGCTGGGATACTGTTAGTGCTCAATGAAATATTAAGTAGTTGTTATTAGGTAAACTCAGTCGGTAGCCTTGGGCATCCAGAGAGGAGACATTAGTGTAAAGCTGTAAATTCTTAGATATTTATCTCAGAGAGCTGCCTCCTGTAAGCAGCACATGCAGCTAAAATCAAATCATCAGACTGATACCAAAAAATGAAGAATTTTGAGAGAGGAAAAAAACAAAAACAAAAACAAAAAAAACCTGTCACAATTGGATAATTAAGTTACAGCACAAATCTTACGCAAAATTCCAAAGCTGCTCCAATAATATTTTGAAAAAATACAAGATGAAATAGTGCATCATTGTAAAAACCTGATTCCCCTGTGAAGGGGCTATAGAGGGAAAGCAAACAAAACACAGATAAACAAACAACTCCCAGAGGGACCCCATGAATGGCAGGCACCATACTCTATGTTGGCTAAAGTTATAATATTAAGAGAGGTAAGACCAAAGACAAATCACTTCTAGTGCCCATGTTTAGAAAGTCATTCCTTTTCTTTAGAAAACAGACTAAGCTATATTAGCCCTTGCCTGGTTTTAAGTAAATGCCATGTATCCTGTAATTTTAATCTTTACAGAAGTGTGCTGTATGGCCTTCTGTATACTAACTAAATGGCCTCAGCCCACTCTGCTCTCTAACTCTGTTTCTGGTTTTTCCGCTTCATCCTTTCCAGCTAAGCTATCTCCTAATTAGAATTTTTCACCTGGAGTGAGTCTTTCCTAGATGTGTGGACTTCGACACAAGGATTATGCACATCCATCATGGCTCTTTGGGCTTGTTTTCTGTCTATATTCTCAATACAAGAAAGTATTAGACAGCAACTTTAAAAATAGGTGAGTTATAATTTTATCTAAGCCCAATATATCTCAAGGGATCTTGGGTGAATTTCACATGTCACTAAATGCATGTCACATGTCCTGAAGCATCGCTTATAAATACTTCTTAATCTAAGTGACAAAAATATCAGGAAAGATGGAGTCTGGCAGAATCTGCTTCGCATACTAGATAAGATCACTAAAGATAGTTGTGTGCAAACACTTTAAGAAAAATCTTCACCATAAGACTTTTCTCCCCATGTATTCTCTACTTTGAAACATATTCAAATCTCAGACATTAAGGCAAATATTTAGTGAAAGCCAAAAATAAGTCTATGAGAAAAATCTTAAGACTATAGAGAGGGTGTCAGGAAAAAAAAATTAGTGATGCTCTCTTTTTCACTGACATCATTGTAAAAAAGAAGGAAATAGGAGTACAGTGTTTTCTGACAAAATCAAAAGTAGAACTTCCCATGAACTCTTCAGAACGATACAAGTTAGGCTACAAGAGAAAAGAGTATTATAGGATTCACTAAATCTGAACCCAAACAACACTAATCCTTTGCTAGGATTTTAACTGATTATCCCAATTTTTCACCTTACTTAGCAGTGATGGTGGAGCCTTAAAACAGAGATTACATACAAAAATGCTGTTTCTGTGTGTAGTAAATTAATTATGCACACTGCCAAGACAGTTAAAATTACTTCTTTAAAAGGAAGAGCTCTATAGGACAAATTATGTCCCTGGGCCTGTTCACAGGAACATCCTCCTATAATGAGGCCCTGTATGAGACTGGGGTGAGGCATTTTCTTCTGGCTCTTCTTAAACTTGCCACTTTTCAGCTCTCCATTATTCTAATACACTAGACAACAGATAAACTGGAGACAGGAAGACCTTCTTCATTAACAACCCAAATGCCTAGAATATTTCCAAGGAAGAAGATGGCTGTAGGAAACAGCAGAAAGCAAAATGATAAAATGCAAAGTGGAAGTCCTCCTTTAAAGTTATGAGCATAAATAATGCAGGATTACATACTGTGAGACCCAGCTACAAACAAGAAGTGTGCATTGAAACCATGTTCAGCAGAAGTCAACTGTAGACAGTAAGATTTCTTTTTCACTAATTTCAGTTAAGTATTCTTCGAGAATCAAGTTTGAGTAAGATATCGTACCAGATATCGTACCAGATACAAGAAACACACAAGAAAGAAAATAATCTCTTAGTTCATGTCCTCCAGGAGCTTACAATCGAGTTAGGGAGATAAGTCCCTTATGAAGTCACTAATTACAATGCAAGTCTCAGTCCCAATGGAAAATAACACCAGTATTCAGTCCCAACGGAAAATAAGAAAAATAAGTGGGCAGAATGTCTGCAAAGATTAATTAAATGTGAAAAGTCCAAAAAAAGATTTTATGGGGGAAAAAGTAAATTTTACCTAAGTTCAATAAATCACGTATTTACATTTCAGTTGGTTAAATACACATTCACACACACACATACACACACACACACACACACACACACACACACACACACACACACACCCCTACCTGAGATTGTAATAAACAGTGCAGAGAAACATGTTCACAGACATAAACTGACAAAGGATGCACAGCAGAGGAAACTGAAGCAAGGCTCTCTCAGGGAGGGCTGCAGTTCAGTTCTGAAGGACACATTAGCCATTGAGAAGAGGAGGCCAGCACAGAAGAAGTGATCAACGATGAATGCCTCAACATCAATCATCCAGTTTATTGCAACTGAATAGTTTAGTTTATACCTTTTCCAGCTTAGTGTCAGAAGAAAAATCCTATGAAAACATGATTGGCAATGGAATGATTCCCAAATAGATGGCAAAACATGCCAAACTTTTTTTGACTAGTCAATCTAGTGTTTCAAGTTAGCAATAAAAATAAAAGGATCAGGGAAGAGAGTTGTGTGCAACTACTTTAGGAAAAGTTTTCACCGTAGTTCTTTATGACTTTCCTTCTCACTGTATTCTATATTTTGAAACATGTTCAAATCTCAGGCAGGCATTGAGCTGAATATTCAGCAAAGGCCAAGTATAAACTCAAGAGACAACAATGACCGTGATGACTCCAACAGCTTCAGAGCCTAAAACTAATTTACTGAGACGTAGCAGGAGCTCTTGGGAAGAGAGAGTCTGCTCGTTAGGCTACCATGAACAGATTCCAAACCTTGACAACATTTTCCCAAGTATCTCATGGAGAACTTTGATTTATGGGCTGCCCAGGTAAAACCTGAACAGATGGTATGTTTTAATAACTGACACCCGAGTCTGCTAAGGATCTCACCCTCTGGAAAACACACAGCTCTACAGAGGAAAGCATCGAGGAACATTGTTAGAGTCATTTACCTTATCTTTGTCCTCCACGACATCAGCCAAGATATCATCTGGATCCAGGATTCCTCCGTCTGTGTATTCTAAGTGATGAATCTTCACCCAGTAGCCAGGATCCTGTAGTAGAACCATCAACAAGTTTTATAACTCAAACTTTTCAAAAAGGTAAACTACATTTTAATTTTAAGTATTTAAATAAGCCGGCTCATTAAAAATATGCTCTAGTGATACTATTTCTAAGCACCAAACTCAAAAGTTATCTATTTACTTGGATAAATATTTAGCATTTTTATCCTATTTCATGTAAATCAAAGTAAACCAAATTATATACAGTCTATCAATTATCCTGGAAGGTAAATTGTAATACAAAAAATCGCTCTGTTATTTGAAAAGCATATTTAAGGAATTTTTTATAACCTACAATTTAGGTAATCCCAGGAATACTTTGTAAAAGGAAGGTACTCTTGAGTGTACTTGGTGAAACTGAGGTTTGGAAGTTCAAACTAAGACCCCAAAACTAAAGGGGGATATCAAAAGGAATAACTATGACTGGAATATATGAAGTGGGGTGACCACTGAGCCCTGTGCCTGTTTGGCTCTCCATGGTCTCTGCATATCCTCACACTAAGATTTTCAGTGATATCGAGAGAGAGAGAGAGAGAGAGAGAGAGAGAGAGAGAGAGAGAGAGAGAGAGCGAGCGCGAGAACGCGCGAGCTCCACAATTGGTCTCCATGACTGCAACTCAAACTGTCAAGAGTTGAATGCGGGTTCACTCAATCAGGGTGCTAATTTAGAAGATTCCCCAAGTATTTTTTTTTAACTACTTAGGAGTATAATGTTTAAGGAAAAGAACTGTTTTCTCAATTTGATAAGTGGCTAGATACTCTGATATCACAGTTTAGAATTAAATAGTGGAGCCCATTCAGTTACTTATACACTGCCCATTTCCAGAAAAAATATGCAAAGGAAAGATTATAATGATGAGACAAAAACATGAACCAATGAACTGGGAGGGGTAGGAAGGGGGCGGGGGGGGATAACATTAGTAAGATTTTTACCAGAATAGCCAAGCTATAATCCATTTGGCTCTGAGATTCTTAGAAAGCCTCTAAAACTCGGAAACTTTTGTTTCCAATAAAGGGCTACCAGTTCCTGAGAAGAAGTGCAAATTCGTCTAAGATAAAGTTCTAAATTTTTAACTACATGACTTTTATAAAGTATTAAAAATAAACATAACCCACAGAATTTAAGTGCAATTCTACAAAAAACTAATAGAAACAGTTGTCACACAGCCTCCTCTTTAATGTCTCATAATAGTAACAAGTCCAGGGCATACCATCCTATATAATAATAGGCCAGTCACCATAAGCATAATGACCTGAATGACCAGAGACCAGAACCACCACTGCCCCTAGCCCAGCTAGCTCTGCCCCCAAGCAAGTAGTTAGGGGTGATCAGGCAGGCAGGCAAGTGGTTAGGGGCAATCAGGTAGGCAGGTGAGTGGTTAGGGGTGATCAGGTAGGTAGACAGCCCTTCACAGGACTGGCCCCACCACCCAACAAAGAAAGAGGGAGGCTCAGTCCACTGGCAGCAGTGACTCTGTGGGAGGTGTGCGGCTGGCCAATCACACCCCAGGCCTGTTCCCTGCAGAGGGAGGCCACCAGTGACAGGGGAGGGAGGGGGCAGTGCTGCACAGATGGCAAGCAGTGGCAGCAGCAGGGGTGGGGCCAGCTGCCTGCAGCCAAGGGAAGGAAAGCCCAATAGGCTCTGATCTCAGGCCAGGCCTAGGGACCCTACCAGAGGGGTCTTGGGTTGTGAGAGGGTGCAGGCTGGACTGAGGGATCTCCAACCCCCGAGTTCACTAATTTTGGTATACCAGGCCTTTAGTCCTATATAATAAAGAGATAATATGCAAATTGACCCTCACGCCCTTGCACAAGATGGCCACTTCCATGTGGTCAAAGATGGCTGCCACAAGATGGCTGGCACGGAAGGGTAGTTGTGGGCGACCAGGCCTGCAAGGAAGGGCAGCTGGGGGAAACCAGGCTGGCAGGGGAGGGAAGTAAAGGGTGACCCAGCCAGCAGGGAGGGCACGTGGGGATAACCAGGCCTGCAGGGGAGAGCAGTTAGGGGCAACTTGGCCAGCAGGGGAGGGCAATTGGGGGCAATTGGGGTGACATGGGAGCAGTTAGGTGTCGATCAAGATGGCAGGGAAGTGGTTAGGAGGTGATCAGGCTGGCAGGCAGGCATGTGGTTGGGAGCCAGAAGTCCCGGATTGTGAGAGGGATGTCCGGCTACCAGCAGTCAGGCATCTCTTGAGGGATCCCAGATTGGAGAGAGTGCAGGCTGGGATGAGGGACATCCACCCACCCACAGTGCAAGAATTTAAGGTACTGGGCTTCTAGTTAATAATAATTCCTTTATAGCATGTATTCAATATGCTACTGAAGTGTAGCCTAAGTACATAGCTTTTCAGTATCTGACTTGATAAAGCAGTAGTCTTTAAAAATTCAAAGGGATTTTTCTTAGCTAGGCTTTTAATGTTTCAAAGTTAAGTTTTCTATAGAGTATATGAAGAGCTCTTCCAAACAAATTGAAAGGAATTCCTTTTTGCTTCTAATACTAGGTTTATAAATGGAAATCCTAGAAATTTATTAAGACACTTTGCCTGATTTTATTATCCAGATATGGATCACAAAGAGGTGAGCAGTGTTTATACAACCAGGTAAGAGGAGCATAAGACACCCATCAATTAGAGTCTTTAATCAGAGACCTTTTCCAACTCAAGGTGATTGTGCTATAAAAGATGAGATGATGAGACCAGAGTGCCCATCAGTAAATGAGTGGATAAAAAAAGTTGTGGTACATTTATACCATGGAATACTATGCCTCAGTGAAAAAGAAGAATTTCTTACCCTTTGAGACAGCATGAAGGGACCTGGAGAGTATCATGCTAAGTGAAATAAGTCAGGCAGAGAAAGACAAGTATCACATGATCTCACTCAAATGTAGAATCTAAGTAACAAAATAAACTGATGAACGAATGGATCCAGATACATGGATGCATGGAAGAGAGAACAGAATATCAAGAGGGAAGATGGGGAGGGTGGGTGAGCTGGAGGTAATCAGCCAAAGACTTTGTATGCATACATGTATAACCCATGGAAACAAATAATAAGGTGGTGAAGGCCTGGGGCAAGGTGGGTGGGGCAGGCTGGGGGGGGGGCATATGTAACACTTTCAACAAAAAAGAATTATTAAATAAATACATAAATAAATAAATAAATAAATAAATAAATAGTGAGCTAAGAACAATAAACTAAATTCTAAATAGGGATATTACTGCGGTAGACAAAACACTAGGCAATGCCCACTAGACAATACAGAAAAGAGAGCCAGAAAGAACTTTCCCAGTAATTTCTGGGGACTGAATCTTTCTGCTATGGCCATGCTACGAATGATATGCTTCTCCAAATTTACCCAAAAGTTCAGGCTGAAATTTATGGAGTATTACATTTTCCTTCCTTGTAAAAGTAGCCTTCTTACAATAGGAGTTCCATGTAATTAATTTCTACTAACTTCCATGGAGTTAGTTTTTTACACATTACAGTACTGTAGATAAAATCTGTTGATTTTAAACATGTTTATAGAAGATGATGTATTCTAAAGAGTTTGCTTTTTTATATTCAATTACTTAAAAGCTGACATCTATTAAGTTGTCACCTTTCCTCTTACATTAAGTTTCTAGAAGCAGATTTTATCAGCTAAGTCTTAAGTAAACAATTACCCCCCCAACAGAAGTACTGGTTAAAGTATAGCTCTCTTCCTGCCTAGAAGGAGGAACAGGGACAAGGAAACCAAAGACTCAGATATAAAATAGGGAAACTCAGCAAACAATAAGGGTTTTGGATCTGACCAGTGGCGAAGAAGCAGCATGAGCTGCAGCAGGATGGGGTTGTTAAGTCACATACACTCCACCTTCAGACACACTTGTGGGAACGAGATGTTCTGAAGATGAGGCACGGGAGTTGAAACTAAGACCCCTTTTTAAATCTAATTTGGATTCTAAAGCATAAAGAACTTAAAAATGTTAGACATATATGTGGAATTTAATTGGCCTGAACTACCAAGCAAAATTGAGAAGATTCACAGTTAGAGAGCACAGACAGCTCTGGTGGTGGGTGGGGTATGGGGAAGAGATGCAGGATTAAGTAAAAAAGAGAAAAAAGGAGAAAGAACTCATGTACATGGACAACAATTTGGTGATTGTGGGGAGACCAGGGGGGTCGAGGTGGAAGAGGGCATGGAGGGAATAAATGGTGATAGAAAAATAATTAATAAAAAATAAATAAATAAAAGTAATAAAAAGAAAATAAATTTTAAAAGTTTCACAGAACTAAAGAAAAGGGAAAAATAACTTTATATATTTTGGAATCATATATTCAGCCCTCTCCAAAAAATGTTTAAATGAGACAGGGTGCCAGACTATAAAAAGACTGCTTGCAATTGTAAGCTTCCCCATTGCACACTGAGGCTGCATTTTAACTCTAAAGGAGGAAAGAGTAGGCCAGTGGTGAACAGACAGGAAATTCTAAACAAAAACAGATAAGCTATTTGAAAGCAGTCTCCAAGAGAGGTAACTCAACATGCACAGTCCATACCCGCTGTGAGTTTTGTGCCCATGGGATTTCAGCCATGATGCTATAGATCTCTATAAGAACATACATTCAGTATTAGCAGCCGACAGCCATCATAAGACCATAAATTCATCCATATGCTTTATGCATGTGAAAATTTCAACCATTACCTTGCAGTCAAGATTTTGCATTTCATTTACTTGCTTTTATTACCATCAGGAATAAAACTGATCAAACATGAAAAGATGTTCACATATGTGTAATGGTTCAGACAATTAATCCACTTGGAAAAATTTATTGTATTTTTCATGATTGTGACATTTAATATACCTTTATATTGCAAAAATTTCTCTAATACACATAACTTTTAAATTACTTTGAAAATGACTCTGGTATATGTGCTATGCAATAAATCTTATTACTTACACTCCTAGGATCATTAAAATATTGAAAAATCACATAATATACATTTTGCTTCC